TTAAGTCACTTGTAAGGTTCAAACTTTGCTAGTTCTATATACAAACCAAACAGTGGGCGTAGTTCACGTCTAAACTGTCATCGAAGTTGTCATATAGGCTTAGTTAATTAGATTAATCAGTAGAAACTGGTGTATGTACGTACGTATTAGTCTGTACAATGGAGAAACTTTTGATTCACATAAATAACTAAGCCAGGACATCCGGAAATTATGTTAACAAGTTTATTAACACGTATTATTGAATGTCTGAAGCATTAGAACACACAACTGTTCACACTCCACGTGTTTACCATTGTATAAATTGCACACAAATTCAAGAAACGTGAAAGTCTCCCATCTCTCAAGCACAAGCTAACAATTTTCTTAACATATTTTCCTGTATAATCTCCGCTCCGAGGAAACAACTAGAATTACAATTCTGGTTATTTTTGGCAACTGTTTCAATAGAACATACATTACCGTTTTAAACATATTTTTACTAGTCGAGAAGGACGCCTTTCCTGTTTGTATTTCGATTGTAATTGTGTTTTAATTTTTCTTAGAGCTCCAAAGTTTCTCGAATTGTATCCCAACTGACTTAAGTGTTTGACTAAGCTAGGTGGTATATCAAGGTTAATCTTCAAAATACTTCATGGATTATCTGTGTATCATAAATCAAGAGAGGACTGTGATTTAGAGATAACGAGCTTTGGTAGACCGAAAGACAGACTATTAAGTATTTATAACACGCAATGAACCTAACATTTATTTGATGTTTCTATATTTATTTTGAATTTTAAATGTCAGGAAAAAATTAAATATTCTATTCGCGATATTATGATCAGGTTTTGACAGGGAAGGAATCATGTAATTAAAAACAACAACAACAGCAAATGTATAAGTAGATAGGATTAAATACACAGATAAAATTTGATAGATGTATATAGGATCAGATACATAGATAAAATCTGATAGATATATTGATAAATAAATATACAGGTTGAACATGTTATTAAAAACTATTCTTCATGAAGAGATCTCGTCTGTCGTACGAAACACACGTATATTGTATACACCCTTAGCTTTATGTCTACATAGACGACTTAATGCTGTACAGATTTACTCTCCAATGCATAATCTCTCCTTGAACTTAGGAACATCAGGTTTTTAGAAGGAATTTAAGTAAACACATTAATTTCTGTACAGACAGTCTAGCACCATCAGCCATGTGTTTCGAGCTTGAAGAAAAGGTTGTAACGCCGTTTACTTACCAGTCAACAATTAATTCAGGTCTTGGCGAGAAGGTATGTCCTTCAAACGCTTTGTTTTCGCATTGGAAGTTTCTCAACAAGCTATCTACTCACTTATCATCTTGTTATAACACCGTAAAGCGACTGCATGAAGGCATTCATCCAATAAAACACCCTAGGGGTGCCATGTACTTAGATCTTCATACACTCTCTCACACACACGTATACATATATTAGACTATTTATATACGTAAGATTTTTGACAATTCTTTTAGTTTCACTTTTTTCATCTTTCATAGCTACATAATAAAAAAGATACAAAATGTAGCTTGAGCAGGAAGGTCTGCTAACTTACCAAATGTCTTATCTTACTATTTCATTGAATGAATTATCCAGCAGTTATATTAAATTTATTTTGAAAATACAAATGAAACATAAACAGTTAATATGTTTTTGAATTAGTGAGGTATTTTTTCTCTTCTAGAAAACGGTAACTTGTACAAAATGTGTCGAATTTGTGTAAATTGATGAACGACAGTTTTTCTGTTTGTCCAGCGAGGAACATTTCTGGTGCTTACATGTAGTTTCAGCATGTAACCAAGTGCAAACTGTATTTTGATTTCCAACTCTATATATTTATGAAACTTTCGGCTTTATGGTTGTTAATTGCGCATTTTATGACCTCCCAAAGTCATAAATAATACATGACAAACACAGATTAACAGTTTTTCAAACGAACTTCAAAGGGGGAGAATAAAAATAAATTATGTATTTAAACCTCTCTTTGAATAATATTAATCCGAATACGAAAACAAAATTTACGCAAATAACAGATTACACTATGTTATGTAAATTATACTTAGAAAATGTTACAGCTGTGTAATATAGATGAAAAACAAATGATGATATATTTGATGTAATAGAATGTTTCAAGCCGATAAGTTTAGAAGTGTTTTTGTTTGCTCGGGGTGTGGGGCTGTAAAGACAAATTTATTTACCCAATGAAACGTGTAGCACAAAGATTTGTTTTGGAGCAAAGCCACATTGAGCTATCGTCTGTGTGCACCACGGGGGATTGAACCCCAGATTTTAGTTTTGTAAATCCGTAGACTTACCTCTGTCCTACCGGGGAATGTAGCACAAATGAAGAAGGACATTTTATAAGCTTAATATTCGGCTAAAGGAAGAAATATGTTCATAAAAATGTCAAACCTGATTTGTAGATGTTTTTTTAGCGCAAAGCTACACACTGAGTTGTGTGCGCTCTGACCATTGCGAAAAGTCTAACCCAGAATTTTAGCGTAAACGTCCGTAAACTTACTGTTGACTCGCTGGGGAAGCACCTGATTTGGAAGTATTTAACTGATGTCTGTTTGTTTTGAATTTCACGCAAAGATACACGAGGGCTATCTGCTCTAGCCGTCCCTAATTTAGCAGTGAAAGACTAGATGGAAGGCAGCTAGTCATCACCATCCACCACCAACTCTTGGGCTACTCTTTTACTAACGAATAGTGGGATTGACCGTCACATTGTAACGCCCCCATGGCTGAAAGGGCGAGCATATTTGATGGAACGGGGATTCGAACCCGCGATCCTCAGGTTGCGAGTCGAGCGCCATTGGCGATCCAATTGTAACAATAAGTAAAGAAAAACAAATTTTAACGTACGCGAAAATGTAGATATATATAGAACTTTTATATGTATCTAAAATTAAGAAACTTTGTTTTTGAAGTAAAAATGGCTGTTTGTGTCTACATGTTACCTATGCAAAAATAGAGATGAAAATTTCGTATTTTTCAATTTTGAAGTTATTAGTTTTTCATTAATTGGATACGTAAAGAGTAGCGTGTGTTTTGAATTGTTATAAGTCAGGATGTTTTATCAAATCCAAACATTTCGGCTGCTCCTGTGCCATAGTGCTAGCAGGTTTTCACATAATCTGTATTTGTATTGGTATATCCTAAAAGCTAGGATGTAAAGGCAGCTATAAACCATAGTTATCCAGTTGCAGATGTCACACTTTGTTTAATAATTTAATTTAATAATTTCATACCCAGTTATATCACTCACTATATGGGTAGCCATTTTAAGTAAGCCCCCCATCCAGTGTCTGCAGATTTACAACGCTAGAATCAGGGTTTCGATACCTGTGGTGGGTAGAGCAAAAATAGCCCATTGTGTTGCTTTGTGCTTAACTTCAAACAAACATTTTAATTAATTCGCCACCAGGAGTAGACTTTACCACATGCTTAATCAGTTTGAATAAATCCACCAGCAATTGTAAATTTTATCACGTGATTAGTAAATCTGAAAAATCTCAGCGATTGTGAATCGCAGATTTCTCTACAGTATTAATCATCCTGAAAGAATTTTACAACCACTCGCGTCTGTATCCTCATGGTTAATGAAATTGAATAAATCCACCGTCAACTATAGATTTCATTAAACGGTTAGATAGTCTGCAGATATTGATTTTTCGTAGTCAGACAGTCTTAAATATTTTCATCACTAGTTGTACTTCCCATCGAGTGGATAGTCAGCCTGAAGAAATTTCACTATCAGATGTAGCTCGCATCACGTGGTTAGCCAGTTTTAAGGAATTTCATCACTAGTTGTACTTCACATCAAGTGGATAGTCAGCTTGAAGAAATTTCACTATCAGCTGTAGGTCACATCACGTGGTTAGCCAGTTTTAAGTAATTTCATCACTAGTTGTACTTCCCATCGAGTGGATAGTCAGCCTGAAGAAATTTCACTATCAGCTGTAGGTCACATCACGTGGTTAGCCAGTTTTAAGTAATTTCATCACTAGTTGTACTTCACATCAAGTGGATTGTCAGCCTGAAGAAATTTCACTACCAGTTGTACATCACATAACATAGTTAGTCAATCTGAAAGGATTTCTCCACTATTTGTAGCTCACATGACGTGTGGTTAGTCAGCCTTAAGAAATTTCACTACCAGTTGTACATCACATAACATAGTTAGTCAATCTGAAAGGATTTCTCCATTATTTGTAGCTCACATGACGTGTGGTTAGTCAGTCCGAATGAATTCCACCAGTTGGATATTACCACTGGTTTTAGTTATCGTACAGGGTTTAAATTATGAAGTTTGAAGAAACCCAAGCGAAAGTTATATCTGTTTGTCATGGTCAACATTTATATATATATTTCACAATTGCAGTGGTTAATATCATGTAGTTAATATCTTTGCTTTACTAACACTGAAGGACGCTCATCTTTGGTGATACAGCTTTGACCACATGATTTACGTTTGGTTAAGATATGTCTTTTTTATAAATAAATTTATCAGTTATATGTAAAATGGTTGAGTTTATATCTCTATTATAAGAACTTTGCGTTTATGTTCAAGATTGTCGAGCTTATGAACTTCACATTTATATCCAAGATGGTTGAGTTTTATATCTTTGTTATGTGTATCTCACATTTCAATTCAAGATGGTCGAGCTTATGACCTTCACATTTATATACAGTAGGGTTGAGTTATATATTTCTGTTATATGAACTCAACATTCATATCCAAAATGATTATCCCCCCAGTGGCTCAGCGGTAAGTATGCGGACTCATAGCGCTAAAAACCGGGTTTCGATACTCATGGCGGGCATAGCACAAATAGCCGATTGTGTAGCAAACCAAAATGAATGAGATATATATTTTCGTTATATGAATTTCAAACTTGCATCTCAGATGGTTGAGTTTTATATCTAGAATGGCTGTGTGTTACATATGTGTTTTCCAAATTCCAGCCATCACATTTCCGATGACCAGCAGATGAAGTATAAATTGGTTACACCGTATGCCCACAACCATATTAGAATGGTACATTTGAGACGCCGAGGAAATACTTCACTTGGATTCTCTATACGAGGTGGTGAGTTTACCATCAATATTTTTACTGGAAAAAGTTACTTGTTTAACACATTTTGTAATACAGGAAGATGAGTTTTACGGTAAAAAGACTTTCATAGAGAGGCGATAAAAATGTTCGCTGTTTACTGTTAAGTTTTAAGGGGATTGCCAGTTTTAGGTTCGTAAATATACAAATAATTATTACTATCTCATAATTTATAGTACAGTGGCCTAGCTTTTCTGTTAAAAGTAGTGGTTCAATTCATATATATTAATAACAGAAAAAAAATCAACACAAGATAGCTTTCAAAGTGTGTTCTAACATTATTTATTTTTAGACAAAAACGAAACATACTAAACTGGAAAAAGCAAGAAAAAACCCCATAATTTAAGTAAATAGATCACCTATGGAATTAACTTAAAATCTAAAGTTTAGTATGCTAGGTACCCTAAAAAACGCAGCATAATTGAATTGAATAGATCACCTATAGAGTTAACTCAAAATCTAAAGTTTAGTACGTTAGGTACCCTAAAAAAAGAAGCATAATTTAATTGAATAGATCACCTATGGATTTAACTTAAAATCTAAAGTTTAGTACGTTAGGCACCCTAATAAAACGAAGCATAATTTAATTGAATAGATCACCTATGGAGTTAACTTAAAATCTAAAGTTTAGTATGCTAGGTACCCTAAAAAACGAAGCATAATTTAAGTGAATAGATCACCTATGGAGTTAACTTAAAATCTAAAGTTTAGTATGCTAGGTACCCTAAAAAACGAAGCATAATTTAAGTGAATAGATCACCTATGGAGTTAACTTAAAATCTAAAGTTTAGTATGCTAGATACCCTGGTAAATATGAATACTGATAAATATTTGTGAGATAAAACGGTAATGATTAGAATGTATGGTTGCAGGGAGGAAAGCCACTTATGTCTAGGAACTATTTTTAACTGGTAAAAAGCCTTTTTATGACGTGTATTACTGCCAGTTGAAATGGTTTGTCAAAAAATTAAGGCGATTAGCTGCTCCTTAATTCCTAAGAAGATAGAAGAAACATTATATGTTCTTCTAAATATATAATCTAATAATTTGAGAAGAACACTTATTAATATGGTTACATTCTTCAGTTGGTGAACATTTCTTTCTGCGAAAGTAATGGAGTTATTTGCTATAGATTAGGAACACGTGATTCTTGGGGTGGTCACATATAATTTGATTTCCTTCCGTAACCTGTAAGTACGCGGTTCTGAAAAACGAAACTTTTTTCTGTGTGTTTATTTTAACAGGCTTGGAACATGGAACCGGTATCTTCGTCTCAGAAGTGCAAGCTGGTTCAGAAGCTCAGCGCAAAGGATTACGGGTAAGAAAATATTACTGTTACAATACATAAGTTTTATGGGGCCGGGCGTGGCCCAGGGTTAGGGTACCCGGATGGCGAAACCGACAATTCGTGGCTGGCGTCTCGTTGCCACAAGAAAAACAAACAAACAAACAAAAAATGTGCTATGCACTTTGGTGACATTATTTCGTTGTGGTCTATAAGAATGACACTTAAATATCCCATTCGGTCAGACAAGAGTAGCCCAAAAGTTGGCGGTGGACACTGTTCACTAGCTCCTTTCCTCTTTTGTTCAATTAAGAATTATGACGGCTATAACCAGATTAGCCCTTGTGTATTGCCCTCTCCTCAGTGGCACAGCGGTATGTCTGCGGACTTACAACACTAGAAACCGGTTTTCGATACCCGTGGTGGGTAGAGCACAGATAGCCCATTGTGAAGCTTTGTGCTTAACTACAAAACGAACAAACCCTTGTGTATTTTTGCGCGTAAATTCTAGAAACATTAAGTTTTTATTTGGCCAACGATAAATCTCACGCTATTAGCGTACTTTTAAATATTTTACAAAACTTGCAGATGTCACTAAGAAACTGATTTTAATCATGTGCGTGAAGCATCATGATTAGATTTAGAGGCTAGGTTTGTGGGATCCACGTGACCACGTTGTTTGTTTTGTCAGATTATGCGCAGAGCTACACGAGAGATATCTGCCCTAGATGACCCTGATTTTAAATCTCTAGACCTGGGCAACTCTTGCCAGACTTAATAGCGTAATTTGATCGTCACTCTTATAATAACGCACCCATAGCCCCAAAGTGAAACCGCATGTTTTTTTTTTTGGAGGGTGGTGGTGGTGGTAAAGGGACGCGAACCATGGAACTTCAGCTTCCAAGTCCGGCACGCTAACTATCACGTTATTCATATCAAGAAGAATTTGTGGTGAAGGTCAGGGTCAAGATCAAAGTCATATCTCTCCCAAGCCGAGATGGCACCTAGGATCCGGTGCTGAACTCAGGCTTAATTGGCTATAATGATAAACAGAATATCTTATACAATTCATTGCACTTTTCTCTAGTGTTTATCGATATACAGTTATTAATCCTTTTTAACTTCTTGTTCTTCATTACATTAAGAGGAACAATTATAAAATTCATTTTTATTGTGCTTCATTATTCTATTCGTTGTTCAAGAGTTTACTTATATATTCGATTATTATTGTTATTCAAATCCAGCTAAGGGTTGTTTGTTAGACATCAAACCTTATGTTCAAAGTGTTAAGAACTGTTCGTCAACCCCCAGCACCATCACAGTCGAGCAGACTCAAACAATAAATAAAGAATTGTTACTATTGGTGATATAGAAAAAAAACACCATACTTAACCAAGTTTAGAATACTGAATGAGGAATTGTTTTAGTTTTAATTTTTTGGATAAAACAAAATCTTCACAACTAACCAATTTCAAAGCACTGAAATACCAACATATACAGGAAACGTTTGCTAAAACATAAGATTTTCATTACCAGTTATTTTCCTGTAATTTCATTAGATATGAGTTAGTATCCAGTAGTATGTCGCTTTAAAGACGCATATAGCATGCATCGAAAATTCTTTGTATCGTGAACCGCGACAACGTCAGGGCTTCTGAGATACTTCTTCTGAGTGAATGGCAACATAACAACTTTATGACCTAGTTTATTATCTTTCTTTTCCTTTAATACTCAGTCTTTGTTTCCACTAGTCTTTCATACTTTACCAATCCACACACACACACATATCCACGACCTTCCCACTTATATTCATGAAGTCTAATTTAGTTGCCTCCACCCTACACTCGCCAGTTTTGTCGTCCAAGGAGTCACTGACATAGTATATAACAGAGAAATATTTACTGCCTTTTTATAAACTTAAGATAATTTTTATTGAGGCACATATAATGATAAATTTACTTAATCATGCTTTTTTTATTATTACGGTTTAAATGATGAAAGCTGGCGAAGTATTAGAAATAAATAGGCTTAAAATTTGGATAAAAATCATGGAATCTACAGGTGCTTTTTCCATATTCCTCTTAATTTGTTTAGTTTGGATTCAGAATTAGAGGCGTGTAAAAACAGCATTTCAGATCTATCTTTTATTTCTCGCAGAATACTACTGAATAGGCTTTTCGTACAGTACCAGAACTCGTCAGTTGGACTGGATGATGAGAGACAAAACGCTATTTATATATGCAGTATAATACTTTAAAAGTTATGGTTTAAGTGCCGAAAGCTGGCGAAGCATTAGAAATCAATAGGACTAAATATTCATGATTAAAATTTCGTAAAGTGCAGATGTTTTTGAGTTGTTGGAGACAACAATTAAATCTGAAATGCAATTTTCATACGCCTCTCATTTTAAATCCGAAATGGACGAATTAGGAGGAACACCAGGCAGAAAAATCTGCAGTATACGTGATATTTATCCCAAATTTATGTCCCCTGATGGGACAGTGGTAAATGTACACACTTACAACGCTAAAATTCGAGATTCGATTCCTTGGGGTGGACACAGCAGATATCCCAATTCAACTAAAACGAACCAAAACATATTTTTTTCTTATTATAATGTAACTATTTTGATACACTATTCTTAATTCATCTCTATTCAGATGTTTGAAGTTTTAACTTTTATTTTTCTATTTATGTTTTTTTTTAAGTTTTGAAGTTATTAATTATTTATTTTAGATATTATTAAAATCCTATAGAGACATGAATGTATGATAATTGGATTTTGTACTGATTGTTGTTAATATTCATTAAAAATATGGATGTTGTGTTATTTTACTACATTTTTGCTTGTTTATGAATAGAATAACTATAATTGACACCCACCGTTTAGCATACTTCTGGGTGTTGAGATGTTCATCGTTTAGCTTATTTTTGAGTCTTCAGGCTATTGAGATATTCATTATTTAGCTTATCTTCGAGTGTTGAAGTACTCACTGTTGAGCATACTTCTGAGTGTTGAGGGGTTTCTTGTTTAGCTTGTCTTCGGGTGCTGAAATACGCACTGTTTAGCATACTTCTGGGTGTTGAGATGTTCATTGTTTAGCTTATTTTTGAGTCTTCTGGCTATTGAGATATTCATTATTTAGCTTATCTTCGAGTGTTGAAGTACTCACTGTTGAGCATACTTCTGAGTGTTGAGGGGTTTTTTGTTTAGCTTGTCTTCGGGTGCTGAAATACGCACTGTTTAGCATACTTCTGGGTGTTGAGATGTTCATTGTTTAGCTTATCTACGAGTGTTGAAGTACTCACTGTTTAGCATACTTCTGAGTGTTGAGGGTTCTTTGTTTAGCTTGTCTTCGGGTGCTGAAATACGCACCGTTTAGCATACTTCTGGGTGTTGAAATGTTCATTGTTTAGCTTATCTTCGAGTGTTGAAATACGCACCGTTTAGCATACTTCTGATAGATTGAATTACGTACTATTGTAAATTTAGAAGCATTGAACGATATAGTATCATACATTGTTAGAATGCTCTTGAAGTTTGAGTATTAGTTTGTAAAGCTCCTTTGAGCATTGTATAACTAAACCAAAATAGTCAAGCAAAAACCAAATTCATTTTTAGAATCTTTAAGGTCAAAGTTTTATAAAAATCTGTATTTTATTTCGTAAATCCAAATTAACCAGAAATAATACGTTTACAAGAAAGGTTAGATTTGCCACAATGTTCTTAAATGATTTCGAAATAATTAGCAAATCTTTATAATTAAGTACTCCAAATGCACATTAATCAAATCAGCTTTGAAATTATCTAGGACAGATATTGTTGCGCTCATTGCTTATTTATTTAACGTACGAAAATGTAGGTCTACTTTAAACGTTTTTTATTGTGTTAGCGTAATAAAGGCTTGACAAAAATGACTTGGAAATTGTTTTTCGGCTTGAGACATGCGCATAATAAGTTAAACATTTCATATTACGTGGGTTTTGGTTCAAACTTTGTAGTGGACTTTATTATGTATTTCCAAATAGAAAATCGTGATAATGTTGTCCTCTTTCACTATGACAATTATTTTAATAGTTATTTCGGTTCGGATTACGAGGGTTAGTGAACTACTGCGCTAAATAACTAAGAATATTTTCTACAAACCAATGTTTCAGACATTTAGCTTGCTATCAAATAAATGTTTTGTGTGGGTAAAGGGCAGCAGCATGGACAGTGGATCCAAGGTTAAGAAAACCAACTCACACATGCAAGAGACCGTGGGCAGAAAATTCAGTGCAGCATGAAATTTGTCTAATTGCACATAACCAAAACAAGGATTTCCGGCTGATGCATAGAACGTTGTTTGACCCGCGTGGTAAGAAAATCTTTGAGTCTATAAGAAAGGAGTTTTGACTTCCAGCAGGGAACAAACCCGTTTTCATAATTAGAAAATTTACAAGAAAATAAAAATAAAAGTAGCTAGGTGGTATATATATATATTTTTTTTTTTAAGGACTGAAACATGAAAATGTTTTGGAAGTAATTACCTTGAAATTGTACCTGTTAGAACGACGTTTCTAAAATAAACAAAATGTCTGGTTTAAACGTCGTTAGATCGTTATTCGATAAACCGTTGCTACTTTTAGATGTTATTCGATGATTTTTCATATTGATCATTCTAAACATCTGTTCTTGCTGTATTATTTATTTATGTGTTTGTAGATAAGAACGGATTAATCTTCAAACTTTTTAGAAACAAATATGAAAGTGCCCCTCTTTCTCCTCGATGGCTCAGCTGTAATTGTGCTGGCTTGTAACGCTAAACTTCCAGTTTCGGTATCTGGTGTGGATACAGCATAGATCATCTATTGTGTAGATTTACGCCTAACAACAAACAAACTAAAAAATATGAGAGTAACATCGATTCGATTATAGCCAAACCCAGACAGGAGAGAAAATAAGTTCGTTTGATATTATGCTATTTAGAAAGCTAAATATTAATATTAGAAAACCAAAGATTTGATATTAGAAAATGAAGATTTGATATAAA